TTGACATTATCCCTGTGCCACAGCAGCTTGAAAAACAATGGTATGACTACATAATGTTGTGCCTACAGTGCTAAAAACAGAAGCTACAAGACATCACCAGTGGGAGAGCCCTCACCCAAAGAAGGCATTGATGGAAGAGGAAAGATGGATCTAGGAACCCAAAAAATATGTATGATTGGAATAGGTCAAGGGAAAAAGAGGTGAGGCATCCCAGAGAGGGTGACTACATCCACCAAGTCATGCCTACTTCAAGGTCGTCTACAGCAACAGGTGCTAATGCCACTTGACAAAGAACATTTTGTGCATTCATCAAGTATGTATTGAGGGTCAATTTTTTACCAGGCACTGTTGCAGGCATTCACTGTTATCATCATCCTCCAAAAGTATATAAGGCTATCAGAGAAATAGAGCCAATGCACCCAGAAATAATGTTTTACCAGCTATCTGGGCATCATTTAGCCTACTCAACACGTAAAATTAACCACATAATATTGGTAGCTCTTATGTAAACCAATTCATGGGAAAAGGCATTTTCAATGCTGGTGGGAGTATAAATATGCAAACTATTTTAGAGGTCAATTCACTTCTTGAAATTGTGTCCATATTTAAATTGGGTAGATCTTTGGACCTGGCAATTTTATTTCCAGGACTTTATGCTAAAGTCATGGAGATTTATTGGCAAGGATTTAGAGCAGCTTTAAATGTCCAGTAACAATATGTTGGAAGTTAAACTGTGGCCCATCTGCATGACGGAACACGATTCCATCATTAAAATTATGTTTTGGAAGCATATTTAACAAGGGAAAATGTGCACACTATTTAGTAATATCAGAAAAGCCAGTCACAGAGCACTCTTTACAGTAAGATTGAAATTAGATTTTAAATTTATATTTGCATAAGATGCCTAAAAGGATTTGCACTGAAATGTTAAATTGTGCCTGAGTAGAGATATGGTAAGTCATTTTTATTTTCTTCTTTAAACCCTTTCAGTATTTTTCCATGTTTTCTATAATTGAACTATATTACACTATATTACTTCTGCAATAGAAAACAACCAACATATGGAAATCAGGACAGATAATAAAAGTCAACACTCCTATGGCTCTTCTCTGTGCCGGGAGTCATTCTTTAAATACATCATCACGAGTCACCCTCCCTGTGCTGGGCAAGCTGCCCACAATAGGGAGATGAGGAGAGACCAGGCACCAGCCTTTCTTTCTGGGAGTTTACAGTGAAAGACAAGCAATTTTATCTCACATCAAGAACTCTGCAGGAAGGAGACCACGTCTGTGGTGAAGGGCAAAGGTGGGGTAGTATTAGAAGGGAAGTCCCAAGAAAAGTTCCCCTCTGCTGGATGGCTGCAGACTCCTGTTGAAAGGAGGGAGGTAACATGAGCAGATTAGAAAAGAGACCACGGACCTGGAGTTGGGGGCACTCCCAAACCCCCCTGAGAGATCCTGTTTGATACTCCAACCCAAAGGTATGTGCCCACAGAACTTCTCATCCTTGTTGTTCTTTGTTTTTGTTTTTTTATATAAGGTGGCTTACATCTATAAACCCAGAGCTTTGGGAGGCCAAGGCGGGTGGATCACCTGAGGTCACAAGTTCGACACCAGCTTGGCCAACATGGAGAAACCCCATCTCTACTGAAAATACAAAAATGAGCTGGGTGTGGTGGTACATGTCTATAATCCCAGCTACTCAGGAGGCTGAAGCAGGAGAATTGCTTGAAGTTGGGAGGCAGAGGTTGCGGTGAGCCCAGATGGCGCCACTGCACTCCAGCCTGGGCGACAGAGTGAGGAGACTCTGTCTCAAAAAAAAAAAAAAAAAAAAAAAGGTAGAGATTTAGGAAAATAAGGTCCTTGGAGAGGAACAAGGCCCAGGGCCCTGAGAAAGGTGTTCTGGGAGGCTGAAGCCATGGGCCTCTCCTGACCCTGCCCAGGAAGAATAGGCAGCCAAGGCTCCACATAGTCCCAGCCTAGGGTGAACATGCTCCAACCCAAATAGCCTGTCTGGTTTCAGGTCATTTCCTTGCAGTTACCCTTCCTCAACCGCCTTGGAACAGTCCCCTGGAGGCCTACATAGAATGTTCTAGAAGGTATGGTCATTTCTTCCTAAGTTTTGAATCTTTCCATCAGCAAATCATAGCCCTGCAGAGGGGCTGAGGCAGAGCAGACATGGCAAGGGAGGCAGAGCTCTGCTGAGAGGGTAGAACCACTTCCAGGTGAGAGGTCAGAGAGGGGTGGGTGAGAGAAGTGGAGAGAGACAGAGAAATAAAGAGATATATGTATATATAGAGAGACAGAGGGAGAGAGACAGAGACACACACACAGAGAGAAAGTGGAAGAGATACAGAGACACAGATAGACACAGAGAGAGAGAAGAAAAGACAGAAAGAGTGACAGAGAAACAGAGGGAGAGAGACAGAGACAGAGAGACACACACAGAGAGAGTGAGGGAGAGAGAGACAGAGAGACACAGAGGGAGAGAGAGACAGAGAGATGGAAAGACAGGGAGAGACACAGAGAGAGACCGAGAGACAAAGAGAAAGACAGAAGAATAAAGGGACAGGGAGACAGAGACAGAGAGACAGACAGAGGGAGAGAAAGGCAGAGGGAGAAAGAGAGAGAGAGAGGAAAGAGGAAGAAGGGAAGGGGAGCTGAGGAGGAGAGGACCAGGGCAGGAAAGTGGGGGAGCAAGAGAGCAAGAGAAGAAGGGGGAAGAGATCCTTATTTCCAGTGAAGTCTTAAAAACTACCTCATTTGGAGCAAGTTCTCAAACAAATGAGAACTGAACCCAGTTTCACTCACTGAAATGAGATTCAGATTGACCAACAAGCTACATGACTGTGCTTACCTGAAGGCAGCAAACCTTTTTAAATATTTTGTTTGGCAGGGTGAGAATTGCACATTCTAGTTAATATATCATTCTGTGCTTACGAACATTACAACAAGCAAACTCCAAAGACAAGTAACATTGAACTACTGTAAAGAATCTCTATATAAATTATTTTATTCCATGTCCCTTATTTATATAAGACACTAAAAATACTTTTCACAACTAAGTTTTGTCCTTTAAAAAAGCTTATCAAAACAACATCACTAAGGCCTTGAATATTATGCTATATGTGTACAGTAAAATTAGACCCTTTTTCGTATTTGAGACTATCAGCTGTGCTTTGTGATCCTCTTGATCTTGTGCCAAACTAAATTCAATTTCAAAGCAATCAAAGGCATCATTTAGTGCACAACAGAAAGTCTTACTAAAATTGCCAGAGTTGTCTTCCTGAATAGAAACATTGGTCATTAAAAAACGATAGCCCCAAAATATGGCGCTTGGTAGCTGAGATGTTCCAGAAACGCTGCCCATCCCTCCTATCTGTCTTCAGGGAGGGAGGGCTACCCGTGGTCCTCTGCCCACTTCGTCATGAATTTCTTGGTGAGCTCTTGCTTAAGCTTGGATCAGTTCCACTGGGCAATTAGCTTGCCCTACTACTAGGCCTGATGACTCACAGCAAGACTTCCCAACGCATGCCTCTCCATGGGGGCCCGGCCCCCCCAGCCAAAGCCATCAAGTTGCATGGACCTGGGTGGGAGGCTGAGCACTGACATAGATGCTCTCCTTAGCCAAACTGCAGCCAGGATCCTCGGGGCCTTTTGTTGACTAAGCCTCAGCCTTGGTCTAGTGACTCCAACAAACACTAACATAGTTTCGAATAGCTCAAGGCTGTACGCCTATGCCAGGGATGACCTTCTGAAAGTGTCTGCCTGAGAAAACTCAAGGCTGCCAAAAGCAGTTACTGCTTGTTCCAGCCAACACCTGAAGACAAAACCCTCGTCTCCCCATCTCTGTGGGAAAGTAGAAGCCAAATTTGCATAAGAACCTTAGCAAGCCCAGATGGGTTCCACATGAGCCAAACACCCCCACTACTGCTTTGACTCTACTCACACTTCTTTGACTCTACTGAGTCCTCACTCACGCCCACCCTCACTCATTCTCCTTTGAAAACAACCAGTCACATCTGCACAAATCAGAGTTGAATCCAGTTCATTCCAGCCTCTCTTCTCTACTGCAATAGCTACTGCTGAATAAAATCCACCCTGACCCCTTTGACCAGGGTCCAGCTTTGTTGACCCTTGACGGCACACAGCCAGGGCAACTTCAGACACTTAAGCGGATTTGCCCAGAGGGTGGGCTGGGCCATGCTGGGCCAGGCCTGTGGTCCTTTCTGTTCTCACTTCTGTGTCTACACAGCACGTTAGCCAGTGTCCAGGTCAAGATTTCCCCTCACCCCATGGCATGACTCATGTCTGTGGCCAACAGAGGCCCACAAGATATGTTCTAGTGCAACAGAGCCAACCCGGGCGCCCCTGGGTGGTGGCTGCAGAAGGGGTCCTGCCCCCCCACTGCTTCTCCCCAGGGAGACGGGACCCTTACCTCTCATTTCCGTGGCTGAGGAGCCGTTGGACCAGGCCGTCCACTTGTTCCTGTGCTTGCTGATTTCCTGGATTTTGCAGATATAATGCCCTTGGTCTGAGGGCTGCAGTGTCAACACAGAGAGCCTGTAGAGCACCCCCCGCTGCTCCTCCAGCAGGCGCAGCCTCTGCCGGTTGGCGCTGCGGCTGAAATTCCCATAGTACTGCACCACCCGGAGCTTGGTCATCTTCACCATCAAGACCTCCTGGGAGTTGGAGGAGTGTGCAAAGAACCAGCGCACAGCCAGCAAGCTGTCCTTCCGCCTCTTCTGGGAGACGTGGCAGAAGAGAGTGGCATTCTCCCCCTCCAGGTAGTCAACCACGGGCCCCGGGGACACAGTGACATTGAGGGCTGCACAGACCTCTGCAGAGGAAAAAGGGAGAAGAGAGGATGAGGAGAGCCCCAGGTCCCTCTGTGGACAGTCCACAGTCCAGAAGCCGGGAAATGCCTCCACGCACTGGGCGTCCTGGACTTTGCAGACATAATGCCCTGCCTAGCCACAGAGGCAGGCGGCCCCTCGCCTCTCCAGAGGAGGAGCTTTTCTGGGGGTGAGCCTCTTTGGGCCCCCGCTGTCTCATCTATGGGACCACTCTGTCCATGTGGGATGCTAAACAATGACCTCGTGACCCAGAAGTATTTTTCAAAATTTTGTAATTAGTTGCTGGATCTTTAAAATTCAGATTTCATGTAAAAGATTTAGATTTTTGGAATTTCTTAAAAATGTCCAGCCCACATCTGATCCCCCACCACTCCCCACCACTCCCCACACTTCACCCCCCAGCCTGCTTTAATGTTTTGTCCCTGGCCTGATCAGATACGCAGTGGGTGGGGAGTCGCCCTGGGGCAGGGCGGACCCCTGGGCAGTGCTGCAGGGAAGCAAGGAGGAAAGAGGAAAAACAGATCAAGCAAGAAGTGAACATTTGACAAGGAGGCTATGAGGCTGCAAGCAGGCGGCCTTTGCCGAGGGTTGGAGAAGTCTGGTAGATGAAAACTATTCTTCATCGTAAAAATCCAGGCAACAGGTCATCCTCCTATACAGTTTCCACTATTGATCTAATAACTGAACACCTCAAGACAGATGAATTTGAGGGTTAATTTTCCCTTAATTTTCTTTCTCATCTCTCAGAAGACAAGCACTAGCCCACCGGATACTCAAGGGTAATTCCATGAATCTTGACATCATCACACCCATAAAGTCCCTTTTGGCGTACATAGTTCCATTCACAGGTCTAGCCTGTGATTAAAACACCAAAGCCTTTGATATATATGGAAGTGAGCTCAGAAGAAAAGGGTTAAGGTTCAGCTGGACTCTCCGCTAAATGGGTTTGAGCTCTATGTCTACAGTGATGCAGGACAAAGCCAGCCTGGGAGATATTTAGGGCCGCAGACTAACGTGTAGCCAAAGGAGAGACCCACTCTGGTAGCAATCCCGCTGTCATCAGAAGACCCTCCTGCAAGGCAAAAGAAGAGGAATTGGCCCCACCATTTCCCCTGCATCTTGCCCACCTGGTGGCACCTGGCCCATAGGCCATGTTAAATTAGTCGGAAGGCATTTCTTCCTCACTGCTGAAGCCCTGTGTGAAGTCCACACAGCTCTCATGGCAGGAGCTCCCTGGTGAGGAATGCAGCAGCTGGGGACACCGGCTGACCCGGCTCCAACAGCTGCCAGGGGTTGGGCGGGCAGAGAGCAGCAAGGATGTGGCAGCTGACTTCCAGAACTGAAGTCCAGCCCCATCCCGCCCCCAAGAGCTCCCCAGTGGAGGCCAGGAGAGCTGAGGAAGGCAGGAAATTGAAACAAGATGGGTGGGATGAGAGTGCAGCTGGGACCCCACGCCCCAGGCTCCTCCTATTAACACTACAAGGAGGAGGGATTATATATAGTGACTGAAACCAGAAGGACGTGCCAAGTGCTCCAGTCCCCATGGGAGGCCAGATTCCATCCTGGAGGCAAGCTAGTAACCCTTCCACTTCTGCGGCTCAGGATAGGGTCAGGGGCTCCCAGGAAAGGGAAAGGACTACACTCTAGCCTCCCAGGATGAGCCCTCTTTGTTTCTCTATCGGCACATCTCCCTGCCTTCATTTTGCCCATATTCTTTTACAAATGACACAAGCCTCTGTTTCTTCCACCAAAGTACAAAGACCTTGGTTATGGGTTGAATTGTGTCCTCCCAAAATTTGTTTGTGGAAGCTTTAGCCCCAGGACCTAAGAATGGGACTGTATTTGCAGATGGAGTCTTTAAAGGAGTAATTAAGTTAAAATAAAGTCATTAAGGTGGGCCCTCATCTAGTATCAATGGTCTTTATAAGAAGAGATGAGGGAGGACACAGGGGCGCAGAGCGAAGCAATGTGAAGGCACAGGGAGAAGAAGGCATCTGCAAGCCAAGGAGAGAAGCCTCAGGAGAAACCAACCCTGCTGGCGCCTTGGTCTTGGATTTCTGGATTCCAAAATGTGACAATACATTTCTGTTGTGTAAGTCCCTCAGCCTGTGGTACTGTTACCACAGCCTAAGCACACTAATCCAGCCCTGTCCACAGCAAGCTTCATTCCAGCCCTCTACCTGCCACCTTCAGCACCAGGAGGTAGGTGGCATTGTTGGAACTGTGATGGCCACAGACCCCACCAAGTCTGAAGGCTTTGCTGGAGGACACAAGCCGTTCAGGTTGTGGGATCCATGTGCCTGTGACGAGCCTTCTCAGCAAAGCTGGTGCCTTCAGTAACATTCTTCTCCTCCCCAGCCCTGGAGATCGCTGCCTCAAACCCAGCAAAGGTGGCACATCTATCCAAGCAACTGTGAGATGGGGCGAGGCAGGAGGGAGGACAGGGAATGCAGGTAGGGCACCCAGGGGCTGGCAAATATGACTCAGTTGGGTATTTATTTCAATAGTAAGAGAAAGGGAGTCCGTTATCTCCCCCTGCAGTTATCAGGAACACAGGGCTCAGCAGAGGGAACACCAACGGCAATTAGAGGACAGGACGATGGGAAGCAGGTTCACCAACGTCCAAAGGTAGAAGACAGGGTTCAGGGTCTCCAGAAGCCCAGGCTCTTCCCTCTGGATCTCAGTCTGAATGACAGTCCCTGCAAGCCCAGCACGTCAGAGGGGCAGCCTGAGCAATCACAGGCCATGCCCGCCACCAGGCAGGACACGATGGTGCCACTCTCCCCCTCCTCCACCAGGAGGAGGCAGACAGGCAGGGCAGTTCCTCCCTCTCCTGGCCTAGGAAGGACAGCCAAAGTCACTCTGACTCAAAGAAGAAATTACCTTCTTGTTTGTGATCCTGTGTTACGGAGAATTGAGGTGGGAGCTGGACCCACTGTCCCCCTCCCCATGTACCTCTCCACTCACAGTTCCTGCTTCTTCCAGCTTAAGCCTCATGCAGCAGACATATTGTGAAGAAAAAGACAACATTCCCAACTCTGTACAGCAGGGAGTCCAGTGGGTAAGGCAGCCATTCATTGAAGAAAAGACATGGGAGAATATAACTACAGTGTCACGTGCCACAGAGAAAAAGTGCAGTGTTTAAGAAAATCATGGCAAGATCCTGATCTAGACTTTGGGGTCAGGAAAGGGACTCTGGGGATGTGAGCTTCAGCTGAAGACTCAGTTGGAGTTAATGAAATAAAGTTCAAGGTAGCAACAAGGAGTGATCTTCCAAGGAGGGAGCTCCATCTCTGCAAAGGCCCTGAGGCAGGAGGGACCCCGTATAGGATGGAAATGGAAAGGTCAGTGCATCCTGGTGAACTGTACCCCACTATGGCCCGACAGCCACCCCTGCCAACATATGGGCCTCAGAAGGCATTCCCTACCCCAATCAGTGTCCCCAAGGCCACTTCTAGAAGAAGGAATATAACAAAACTGATTNATAGCTCTGGATGCAATTCTGCCTGCAGGAAGGGGAGTACTCTAGACCAGATGACATTTCAGGGTCACTATAGTTCCTGATTTCATAAGTAGTTAGAAAAACAACTGAAAAATATAGGAAAAGAAGAACTAAAACCAGAAACTTGCAAGCTACCAAAAAAAAAAAAAAAAAAAAAAAAAAAAAAAGAGACTGCTACAAACAGAGGGATGGGATTCCTGCTGCACCAAATCCCCTATCTCCAACAAGCACATGTTCCAGGACTTGGTAGCCCTGGGTACCACACGGGGTAAGCACTGGGATGCTCATAGTCCCAGGCCTTCCCAGGTAGCTGGGGAGAAACGATGAGACACAGAAGCAGTGGCTTGGTCGGCTTGGTGGACCTGGGTGAAGAGCCAGAAGCTGGCATCCAACAGAGCCAGGTTGGAAACCTGATTCTGCTAGGTATGAGCCTCCTGGAGTTTCAGTTTCCCCATCCAAAAAATGGGAAAATGATGCCTTTCACAGTAAGTATAGGCTCCCATGCAAAAACACCTTTAAAATACAGATATAGTTTGCATGCCCTGAAACTGGGGAGGTGGGAACAACAGAAAGTGACATGCACACTTGAGTACAGTGGGCTTTGTGGGCCCAGGACCTGCAAGCACACAGGACCCCATGCTTGGAAGGCCTCACTCCCTCAGCTTGGTTTAATCTCTGCCGTTGATTTTTGAAACTGTAATACATTTTAATGAGGAGCCCCACATTTTTATTTGACACTGGATCCCACAAGTCATGTAGCTGGTTATGTTTGTAGATGAACCTCAAATTCCTGTGGACAGAGTTAAGGTGTCTAATCCCCTTGTTTACATTTGAATAATGTCACAAAAAGGACTAATATAACTCTGAAAACAGCCTAGAAGGACATCCATGTAGCTGAATAGGACAATCTGCTCATTGTGAAGTGGGAGATGGCCAATACCAGGTGCAGGGGAGCAAAGACAGCTAACAAAACAAGGCACCAGCCTCACCTGGGATGCAGAGGTGGGCACAGTCCTTCGGTCTGAGCAGGCCAGGGATGAGCTGGTGGGTCTGTGCCTCCCACTTCCTCTCTGCCTGAAGAAACTGCACCCACTCACCTCAGGGAAACCAGAGCCTCTAAGTTTATAAGGAATGCAAACTATCAGTACAGACCAGCAGCAGTGAGCTTTCTTATTAAAAGAATAGTCTGAATTCATACAGCTAAATCTCTGAAAGAAACACTATTGTATTACTTAACAGTCCTTGGCACCAGGAGCCAGTGTTTACTGAGCACTAAGCAGAGGTGATACCAGACCTAGCCCATGGACTGATTCACTCACATTAGCCCATCACCTGAAAATAGCTCCATCCAGGATAAAAATATCACCTTGCCCAATGATAGAGGCTAATACCTGCTGGGTACAAACCCTATGTCCTTTAGATGCATTTTCTCAATTTACCCTGATACTCTGTTCATTCCCATTTTATAGACAAGAGGACTGAGGTACAGAGAGGCTAAGCCCTTGTTCAAGCTCACATAGTAAGTGGCAGAGCTGGAATTCAATCCTAAGCGATCTGGCTTCAAAGACAACTCAGCCACCACTCCAGACTACAAATATGCTATAGTAAATATATTGTCAGTCGGTTTTCTTTCCTGTAAACTGAGACATGGGTGACCACTTGGGTCCTGCTCAGTCCCCAAATGGAGAGGTAGAAAAGTGCAGCGGTTAGGAAGCTGGGGACTTATGTATAAAGTGGGTCTGCCAGCCCCTCCCAGCAGGATTGTGGTGAGGAGTCATGAATGACACAGTGAGTGTCCCACAAGCAGGAACTATTATCATTCCCCAGGGCTGACCCTAAAGAATCCTGAATTCCAGCTCTCAAGGTTCCGGAGGACTCCTGGAAACATGAGAATGCCCTTGATCCCCACCAAAAGCCAGTCTCTGGGACAACCACTCTGACAGCTTCTTCAATTAGGAAAGTGATCGTGGAGCCTGGGAGAGGAAGGACCACTGGCTACTGGCTACTCCATGCAGGCCACGAGAACTCACTCTGCCCACAATCCAAGTCAAACTTCTCATCATTTTTCCAGCCAAGACAGTGACAACTGGGAAATTTCCCACAGCAAGGATAACAGGTTCACTGGGAGTCTGGCTTCACTCACAGCTGGGGGACCGTGGATGGATTTCTTCCCACTGTCAGCCAAGTGCCTCCTCTTCGGACTGCAATCTAGGGAGTGATGCTGGCTCAAATGCCAGCTCTATCACTTGGTAGTTGGATCACTCTTGGAAAATTACCTACTTCGGAGCATCAGTTCCCTAATTTTCAAAAACAATGGCCACACAGTTTAGTGGTTATCGACACAGATCCTAGAGCCAGGCTTCCTGGGTTCAAATCCCAGCTCCACCACTTACAAGCCTAGTGACTTAAGGGAAGTCCGTTCATGGGCCTGAGCCTCAGTTTCTTCATCTATAAAATGCGGACAATAATAGCACTTCCTTCAGAGGTTATTGGTGAGATTAAAGTTTATGTTTTTTTAAACACTTGGATATATAAACGTTTTGTAGTCATTCTTACTTGGAAGTGTTGTGATTAAATGAGCTAGGCCCAGATAGGCACTCAGGGAAGTGACCATCGATACCTGTAAGATTCCTGTTATTCCAGCCAGTACCGCCACTGCTACCCTGGGGCAGCGGACAGGGCTCTGGAGAACAAAGAGAGAAAATTCTTCAGCCACTTACAAGTGGGAGCAGGAAAACCCGAATGAAAGCCACTAGTGTGGACCAAGAAGCTGTCCTCAAGCAGGGTGCTGGTGGGAGAGGCGTCGCTGCATCTAGCCGTGGATGGCCCTCTCGCCAGGCCTGGTCACCTCCACAGGCCCACGAGCAAGTCCCTGTTCCCCACCTCCGGGCCAGGGCAGATCCAGCCGCTCGTGACTTGTCTTCCGAGTAACCCTCCAAAGAGAGTGAAAGGGGAGTTGCTGCTCTGAGGAACCTGCCAAGAGTTGTGTGTCCTGACTGCCCTGGAAAGAAGGAAAGGGAACTACCAACTTGGGCTGCGCTCTGCTGCATCTCTCCTCGGGGCCTGCCGCTAGGAAGGACACTGTTGCTGTGAGAGTGCCCAGCCCTGGGAGAGGTCAGGACAGGGACCGCGCTCCGGAGAGGCGTCCTCCGAACCCAAGAAGGGGCCGCCGCGCCCCTCAGACCCGAGGTGAGCCCACCGGAGCGCGCCGGCGACAGTGACAGTGCCGCCTCCGGCCCGCGCCCGGAGGCGGCGGGGCCTCCCCACCAGGCCCGGAACCCCAGTCTCCCCCGCGCGGCCGACGGCTCCCACCCGCCCCGCGCCCGGCCTGCCCGGTGGCGCTTACCCGGGGCCGGAGCCCGCGCCAGCAGCGCGGCCGCCGCCAGTGCCAGCAGCCGCATCTCCCCGCCGCCGCCCGGGGCTGTGACGCGTGAGAGCGCCGCCGCCTGGCCCGGCTGCCGCAGCCCGCCCCACGCCCGCGCCCGTGCCCGCCCCCGGCCCGCCCCTCGGGCCGCCTGCCACGCCGGGCTGGGGCTGCTGGGTCCAGAGGCCCGCACCGGGCGTGGGAGTCGCCACGCGATCGGTTCGCTCCAGTATCTTTGGCGTCACTTTCACCAGCCCCATTTCCCAGATGAGAAAACTGAGGTTCTGCAAGGGTGATCGCTGGTGACTCGGAGCGCACACAGCTGCAATGCTACCGGCGGTCCCCTGCCCACAGAGGCCGTTATTCCTAAGGGGAGGCGGGATCTGGGAGCCAGGGGGTGGGGGCGCGTCTAGGGAACCTCTGGCCTGAGACTCACCTGCTGGGTGTGGGCCTCCTACGCTCACTCCACAGGACCCTCGGGAGCCAAGGAGAGAAGCCCCTTCTAATGCCCGGAAATGGAGGGCAGGGTCCGAGGTGCTGCCCCTTGGAAAACAAAGAGGATCCACACAGACCAGCCCAGAATATATGGAAACTATTAACAAAAAAATGCCCATTTACGTTGCCTTCAGCCAGGCCTGGGCTAAAGTGTTTTTCCCGATGCTACTGAACCCGGCCACCGTGAGTCCCTGGGACAGTTCCAGAATCTCCAAATGCCTCAGTTTCCTGCACCTGTACGATGGGGAAATGGGCCCACCCCTCCTGGGGTGTTTAGGAAGATCAAGTGACACCATTCCCGTTAAGGCGTTGCCCCAGAGCCCAATTCGCTAATGTCAGCAACCACTGCTGTTATAACTATAGATAAGGAAACAGAAGCAGCCACTTGAAGGAGACCCAGGTCACACAGCCACGGAGCCCTGTCACTCGGAGCCAATGCCTGATCTCTTTGCCACTGTTCTAAACTTAGGGTCTGAGGCTAGCCCGTCTCTAAGCAAGAAATGTGCATGTTAGGTCTATTCTATGTGTGTTTATCAGGAGAGGTCTTTGTGGAGTTCCAGTGAGGGGTAGCAGCAGCTAGCAGGTGGGCCTTGGTTGGGAGTGGGTCCCTGGAGGAGGAGACAGGGCCCTCATCTCCCTCCCTCTAAGGGAGTGAGGAGGTGGCAGTGGATGGAAAGAGTGTGCTGCCCACTAGTGTGAGCCCCAGGGCGTTCCCCAGAGGAACCATCCCCTTTAGGCACCCCAGGCCAGTGGGTGCAAAGGCTCTGTGACCTCTCTGAACCCAGGTACTTCCTGAGGTCTCTGGGCCCTATGGAATCTTCCAGCTGGGAGGCTCATCTGTGGAGCAGAGTCCTGCAGAGACTGGACTGACCATCAAGGCAGCCAGGCTGGGGAAAGCAGCCCCATCTATCATTTGTGTTGGTGGAAGGGCCTAGGGAACTGATAGTGAGCTGGCAGCAAAAGTCCTTGGGTGTGATGCCAAGGACAAGAAGTGAGGACTAGAGCTGGGGTCAGACAGACTCCTGCAGGCCAGGAATGCAAACATTCCTATGAGGCTTCCAGGCTGACGTTTGGAAATCACTTTGCATGCAAGAGCAAATGAGCCACACATCCCATCCAGGTGATGTCCTAGGCCTCATTTTACAAATTAGCCAATTCAGGCTCAAAGAAGACCAAGGACCTGTACAAGGTTCTGTGGGGCACCAAATGTCTGCACTGGAACTTGGACTCTGACTGCACACTGTTGACTCAGCCCTGGAGCCTGCAGCAGTGCTTGGCAGACTGGGGAAGGATGTCTGAAGAGGAGCACTGTTTCTGAAAGCGGACCAGCAACCCACTCTGTCCTGGCAACAGCCTTGGATCCTGGAGCAGCGTAACCTCTCCGAACTTCATTTGTTAAGTGAAGGTGACACACGTAAAATGACGTCTTGACATGGATGTACTAAGAGCAGCTAGACAGGTGGCAGGGCCATCTGGTGTCCTTGGTAACCTCCACCTCAACCTGTTGCCCTCAATTTACTCTCTTGGTGGAAAGCAGAAGGGATCCCTTAGATGTGTTGGCCACCCTTGGAGGAGGCAACTCCTGCTTTAGTCATTGTATATTTCTAAACATCCAACTCTCATTGCAAAATGGAGCAGAAATTCAACCTTGCCACCTTTGACTTGCTTCGTCTTTGCCAAAACTGGGTTTGTGCTGGAGATTTGAGGCTAGAAAGTACTTTTCTTGCACTTCTGCGACAGGTAACATTGTGCTGACTTTACAATTGTGTGCGTTGCCGCTACTTTTCAGCTTCCCAAATAATCCAGCTAATCATCTTGTAAGACCTTTGCTGCATGAACATAGGAACAAGGGAATATATTCAGCTCCCAGGGAAGACAGAGCCAGTGACCCGGATAAGACTTGGCATTTCAGCTGTTCTGTACTACATGGGCAAAGGCCTTTCATATCATTTTTTTTATTCTTCCTGCCTGCTCACTCATTCTCAAGCTCAGGACCATTTGCAAATCCTCTACAGACTGCTTTGTCCCTACCTTGATTCTATCAGGTCTGACTTTCTACTGAATTAGGAGAATAATACAATCCAATTTTTGTTGTTTATCTTGTAAAAAATATTTTTTATTTGCCTAAATATTTGTTATTTACCTTGTAAAAAGAACTTGATCCATATTCCTGTGGACAGTAAGCTATGCGGAGAGCCTACTCAACTAATCATGGATTCTACTAGTTGCCACTGAAAGAATCTTAGAAATCCAGATTCTCTCAAATAAGTGCATTCTGCTATCACCTGGCAGGCTGGGGCTTTTCCGTTTTCATTATCCAGTTGTTTGTTAGAACGTGGGTCAGAGATGGAAAGGTATGGCATGGTTTTGTAATGGACTTTGCGTACAGCAAATACATCCCTAAACCAAGACTACCGAGAAAAAGCAAACAGCCCTCTTCTACAGTGTTTAGCAGATTTCCATGTGTCACTTTTTCAATCTAGATTTCTAAAAGTAGTTTTGAATATTTTCTCCTCCATATTGTTCACAGGCACTTTACGGCCAAAAGCAGTCAGCTACATGCTTGAATTGCCACTAAAAGAAAGTGAACAGATTTCACTGCAGACAAAAGAGGTTTTCAGCTGTGACTGAGAGAGCTGGGAAAGGATGAGGAAGAAGGGAGATCGTGGTTACAGACAATGCACCCATCCAGTCAGAAGGAAATGCCTAAATCCCTTGCGGTATGCAGCTTGCCTCAAACCTGCAGCAGCACTGTCTTCCCCCTGCACCACTGGGGAAGGAGTACGGAGAGCACTGTTTTTCCTGAAATGTACAGAAATGTGAAGCTGCAGACCTGACAGGATGTCTAGAGAGAAATAGCTTCTAACCAACGTCGTGGGTGACCCCAATAGATGAGCGGGATTGTGAGCTGATGCCAAGGGCTCTGCAGGCCGGCTGGATGCAGCAAGCTGGACGAGCTCCCAGGAAACAGAAAGACATGTCCCCAGATTCCTAGAAGGCTCCAGATGGAGGGGATTGGAATGAGGGAGGGACTAGGAACTGAACAGATGTCTATAAAACTGACCACAAGGAAAACATTTTAGAACTGACCCCTGATGTACAAGACTAGAAATCTCAGTCCATGCCTTCTGCTTTCATGGAACATTCAATGAGTGAAAGATAGACTGAAGAACTGTTCAGAGTAAAGGAGATGAAAAAGACTTAACAAGTAAATGAAATGTATGATCCTAGATCCTTGATGCAGAGCCAGGAAAAAAATTCCTAAAAAGGACATTATTGGTAAGACTGGCAAATTTTGAATATGCATGGACTATATTGTATACTACATACATTTTCTGAGTATGATTATGAAAGAGAATGTGTTCACATTTGTTCTTTGGTGATCCACACTGAAGTATTTGGTGTTAATAGAGTGACTGTAAATTACTCTTAAATGGGTCAGCAAAAATAACAAGTTTATCTACAATATGTATTATATAATATATATATGGAAAGAAAGAGACACAAGGAGAGAGAGGCAAATGGAAAGAGCAGGTAGGTCTTGATAAAGAGGATATGGAATTCATATACCATTCTCACAACTTCTATAAGTTTTCATTTTTTGCAAAAGAAAACTTAAAACTGAAAGCTTGTTTATGACTTTTCAGCTATCTTAATGTTTTTATATATCTGCTGCTCATAAACCTCATATAACTATTAATCAATCTCATGCATATTGCATTATTTCATCTACTGTAAGGCACTAGGAATTATAAAGTTCTTCCTCCCTATTTCAAAGATGTGACAGGAAAACACAGTTCTGATGTTGTGAATTCAAGCAGAAGACTTAGACTTCAGGGAAATTCCCATTCTGGATTCTTAATAACTTAGAAATAAAGGAATAAGACATCTATAAATCCTCTACAGAGACACAACGACTCCCAGCTTGGAGCAAGTCTAGACTAAAAGTGTTACAGAAGAACTAAAAGTTACAGATTGTAACTGAAGTCTGGGATGAGCTAGCCTGACTCAGGTGGCAGTTCGACTACCATGGAGGTAAAGGCATCACACTCCATCAGCACGCAACTGCTGTTAAGGCTCTGACTCACTTCCCGGCACTTGGCTTGAGAGCCCCGTCACCCTACAGGAGAATCTGAATGGCATTCAGTTCCATGTTCACAGGAGAGGCTAATTGGTTTCACAAATGCCCATAGTCACATTAATGTTTTTAGAGGTTATTGCTGTTGGTAATTGTGTGTCTTTAATTTATACATTTGTTTTTTGTTTTGCGCTTGTAAAGCAACTATAAGCTTAGCTGTTTGTGTTTGTGCTGCTTTATTTCCACAGCAATGATTTAAGTCAACAGGGGCTCCGTAGGAATGCTTCTTGACCTTTGAAAAGAATAAAACTCAAGTTTGTCAAACATTGCTTTAGGAAATTCTCGCTCTCTTTCCCCAAGACTGATGGCACCCAGCTCAGTAGTCCTGGCGGGTGTGCTTGGAGGGGCTGCAGCAAGTCCAGCAGCAGAGGATACATAAGCCCGCAGGAGTCAGGCATCATCTGTGAACCTGATGTGCTTGGCCCAAGCTAGGTGTCAGCA